GAGGAGTGGATTCCATGTCGATGAATTCTATACAGACGACAGTGCCCGAGGAAGGCTGGAGAGCATGTGACACGCTTGTGAGCCACCTTTGGGGCCTACAGTGCCCCCTAGGGTTCAGCTCACAGGCCTTCCGTTCCCTGAGTGGGTCTGGACCTGCTTTTCCTGGTTCTGGCGCTCACCAGCTACTGGGCCGGGCTGGCTCGTCATCGTTCAGGTCTCAGACGTTTCATTTTCAGGGAAGCTCTCCCGGGTCACTTTTCTAAAACCTCTTCTCTTGCTCTTTCCTCCCGCGGGAGCCCTGGCCTGTCCCTTGGATGTGGGGCGCAATTTGCAATGATAGGCAAAGCAGCACTCAGTTCAAAACCAGCTCTCTAAAGACAAGGACCGTGCCATCTGGTTCCACCTGAACTTCCATCCTCCACCCAGAGCTGGCCCACGCTAAGGACCCGCTGAGTTCACGGGAAGATCTATGAATGGGGTTGGTGCTCTCGCCGATGACAAGCGGAGGGGCAGTTGCTGTCAGCATCAGTTCCCGAGTGCTCTGAGAGGAGGACCAACTCTCATCACAAGCCATACCTACGAGTGTGATGAGAGTGGTACGAGCCCCCAATAAAATGGTTAAAAAAAAGTTACAGTTTCAAGGGCTCCAATGGAAAGTAAATGCTTAGAAAATGATGATGGCAACATATGTACAAATGTGCTTGATACAATTGATGTATTCAATGTTTATGAGAGCTGTAAGAGCCCCCAGTAAAATTATTTTTTTAAAAGAGAGAGAGAGAGAAAGTATCAAAAGGGGGCGGCTTTAACAAACAGGAAGGCATTCTCTCTAAAAAAAGAAAAGAATGAGGACCTAATGTCGGGGGTTTAAATGGAGAGAAAATGTTTTGAGAAACGATGTACAAATGCGCTTTACACAATTGATGTGTGTATGGATTGGGATAACAGTTGTATGAGCCTCTAATAAAATGTTAAAAGAAAAGAAAGTTATTCTCTCACAGTTTAGGAGCTAGGAGGCCAAATTCAGGAGGGCCAGTCCCAGGGGAAGCCTTTCTCTCTCAGTCAGTTCTGAGGGAAAGTTCTTGTCATCCGTCTCCCCGGTCTCGGAGCTTCCCAGTAGACGCTCTAGGTCCAAACATGAGCTGCACTCTCAGCCCTTCTTTCTCGGTGGTAATAGGTCCTCCCTCCGGAGGGAGCTCTGATCACCTGCTTAATGTCTTTCACAGCTCTAAAAGGATGGACTCAAAACACAATCTGACCCTATAGATTGCTAATGATCCTCATTAGCAGAACTGCCTCCCGTCCTACCTCATTCACAGCACAGAGGTGAAGGCTGACGACACACGGATCATGACATTGGATCACAAAACTGGAGGAAAATTGCAAAATACGGAGAATCATGTTGACATGTATTTGGGGGACACAATTAAATCTGCACGACTCTCCTTTAGTCACTGCCCTAGGAACCCTGGTGGTGCTGTGGGGTGTACACCGGCTGCTAAGGGGCCCAGGTGGTGCTGTTGGGGAAACCAAGGATGACTACCAGCAGGGCTTGGGTCACGGATGGAAAGGCTGGCAGTTTGAACTCACCACCTGCTCCACAGAACCGTGAGTGGCCGTCGACTTCAGTCAAGTTTACGGGCTTGGAGCAGTTCCTCTCGGTCCTGTAGGGTCAGTGTGCATGGCAGTGGGTTACACCATTGCCCTTCCTCCCCCATCGTCTCCTGGCAGGCAGACGTCGGGCCTGGTGAGACCGGCGTGCTATTTCAGCTTTAGGGCTTTGGTCCAGCGTTCCACCCGCTGTCCTGGGCTGCTCCTCTCGGGAAGGTATCTGGCCAGTCCATTGGGACGACACTCCCCAGGTTTGTTTGTGTTTTTTTAATTGTGATTAAAAGATACATAGCATTGACCATCTCAACATATTTCACGTGTACACGTCAGTGACGTTGATGATGTTCGTCATGCTAAATGCCCTTGCTCCCCTCCAACTCTCTCTTCCGGTGGCTACGTTGGTAACCTTAGGTTTCTCTACCTTGGCCCGGTGTAGGGATGTTACAGCCTAGTGGGATCCTGCAGCCTTTGTGTCTGGATGGCCGACTCTCCCTCAGCACCGGGCTTTCAAGGCTCGCCCAGACTCAGGTGTGGCATGTGTCGGGGCCTCGTCTCTCTTTATGGCTGGGTGCTATTCCCCGAGAAGAGGAGGCCGCAGGTCGTGGCTCCACTCTGGTGGTCAGTGTGAACAGTCCTGCCATGCGTGTTGGTGTGGGTGCCGGTTTTATGGATTCCTTCCGGTGAAGCCGACTGGGGTGGGGTGTGTAGGATATGGGTATGGTGGCGGCAACCGGTATCTCTGAATTTCGGGCACACTCCAAAAAGCTGCATGCTGGGAAATGCCTGGGACGCTCCTTCAGGACATACTCAAACGGCTAACACAGCAAGTGGCCTAGCACAGCGAGTGCGGCCCGGACACAGAGCTCTTGACAAAAGCCCCTTTGGCTTGGAGCACAGCAGAGGGCTCACGGTGACAAAGGACAGTGAGGGAGGACTTGGAAATGACTGGTCATCATGACCGGGGAAGGGTGGGAGAACTTGCTTGAGAACTGGCAGGGGTGGTAGACTCGCAGAGGAAGTGGGAACATCTTTCCTTCTTTTCCAACAACACTCGTTTTTGTCGGGGTCGTGGGTGAAGATGTGCATGGCCGCCGAGGTTCCCTTTCAGCGGTGCAACACGAGGGGTCCGCTGACATCCGTCCTGCTCTTCCAGATGTGTGAACCCTCTCGGCGCTTTCGTGCCCGGTGCTCAGTTCCTGGCATCCTGCTCTCCTGGCCTCCTGACCTTTGCTTCTCGGTTTTAAAGTCGTCTCGTAGAGGGGATTTTTTTGTTTTAAGGAGCGCAGTGACCTTGGTTATTTTTTTTAGCTCATTTGTTGTTGTTAGGCTACAAAGTGGCCTCGGGGGCTCGTTTCCACTCCAGGTTTGACAGTATCTCAGGGCAATCATCGACTAGAGCCCTCCAGGCTCAACCAGTCCAGCCAGTGTGTTCTTTCGCCTGTTTGCTTGCTTGTTTGGGGCATTTGCAGTTCTGGTTCACGTGTTTCTCCTGGATTTTACTTCTGAGAGAAAGCCTTTTTTATTTTGAGATCATTTTTACATCGACAGCAGAGCCATAGGTAGCAGAGAGAGTCGGAGTCCCCTCATGCTTCTCCTCCAGCACCTCTGAATGTGGTCATCTGCCATCGATCGGGCCGGCTCCGGTGCATGAGGGCCAGACGGGCAACAGAGCTGCGCTGCCCTGCACCACCTTCACAGTGGCTGGTAGGTCCCAGGCCACTATTGTGGCTCTGGTCCCCATTCATCTCACGGGGCACTGCCCTCGCGTTCACCTGTCAGCTGAGATGTCCTTTCCCCAGATGTCAGCTGTGTACATAATCATGGTACAGCGGTTATCAAAGCACAGGGACTCATGGGAGCGCACGAACTCCAGGCGCCAAACGTTCCCAGTTTTCCCACCTCTGTCTGTCCCAAGGGTCCACCCAGGCTCCCCCGCTGCATTTGCTCATCGTGGCTCCCTCATCCCCTTGGGTCTAGCATAGTTTCTCAGCCGTGACCTTGACTTTCAGAAGTGTTGTTGGTTCCAACTTCACCGCGCAGGTCCTGCACCATCCTCGCAACTGCTGATCTGCCTGAGCCCACTGTGGCAGCCGCGTGCCAACCCATCTCCTTGAGGGTCTTCCTCTCCTTACGCTGACCCCTCTATTTTACTAAGCATGATGTCTTTCTCCAGGGACTGGTCTCTCCTGCTGACATGCCCCAAGTACGTGAGACAAAGTCCCAGTAGCCTCACTTCCAAGGGACTTCCTGGTTATACTTCTCCCAGGGCAGATTGCTTGTTCTCCTGGCGGTCCACGGCCCTGTGCAGGAGCGTTCGGCTCATAGTTCCTCCCAATTACTTTGATTGGTTGGGATGAATTGCCACGGCCTGGGACTGGGGCCAGGGGCTGGAACACAGCATCCATTTTTGTGCACCAAGAACGCCTTCACATTGTTGAGTGGTTGGAAACAACCAGAGAGTGTGGTTTTGCACACCACACAAACATGATGAAATCCACAGCCAATGCACCTCTACAAGGTGTGACCGGAACACAGCCAGGCACACAGCCAGGCACACGGGCTGATGTGCTTTCTTGGCTCTGCTCCAGCAGTCTTGAGGAGCGGTAACCAAGGCCAGAGGCTGGTCTCACCTGCCCCTTCATCTGAGGGAGGGCCTGCCGTTCACTATTAACTGGACGCTAAGCCCGCTATTTCCAGAGCCTCGAAGCACTCACACTCTTAAGTTCTCTCTCTCATTGGACCGGCCAACAAATGGACGAGGAGGGCCCCAACTTGGGGGTGACTTCAAATTTTTCTTTCTCCAGTTCCGGTGACATTGTCAGCCCAGGCTAAGTCCCTCAGATTGGGAGAGGCGTCTCCTGAACGGGCCCCTGGCTCTCCTGGTGGCTGCTATCCTGGCTGAGGGGCTCCCAGGGTCAGCAGTGGCCTTTCCAGTGTGCTCCCTTTCAATCCTCATAGCCATGCCAGGAAGGGTCCTGGAGGAAACGGAGGCTTAAGGGCTCAGCCACCCCCAAGGTCACACAGGTAGGTAGCTGAAGTGGCAGAGGCAGACAAGGTGGCACCCGGTCAGGCCAGGCCTGGCAGCTTCCAGGGCAGGCACCAGGTTTGGGAGGGGGTAGAGTGGAGGAGGGCTGGGGTCTCTGAGAGAACATTCTCTCATTCTCTAAATTTCCCTGCACCTAGGGACATGGTAATGCTTTTGCCTTCAGGATTTGCCTTTGGCCTTCTCCCCGTCCCCCTCAAGCCCCCCGGAAACCCCCACCCCCCACCCCGCCACCACTGCTTTGGAGACACCACTGGGGCTGACAGTGCACCTCCGTGGCTCTCCCCACTTGACAAACAGCATCAGAGACACGCCCCCCCCCCCCTCCAAACAAAAGCACCTGCAGGCAGGGAGCACCAAAGGCTGTGTGTGGTTGGCTTGGCCTTCTTGGAGGGGTGTCCAGAGGCAGGGTCCATTGCGTTGTGCTCTGGAAGGTGACTCAGGACAGAAAGCGCATCCTCTCCTGGGTCTGACAGCAGTCCCAGGCCCTGGCCAGCCATGGAGGGGCCAATCACTGGTCAGGGCTGCTAGAGACCGTTGTCCCAACTTGTGTCGCAGGGAAGGATGTCAGAATAAGCCGGACCTTGGGAACGAGGGCCCAGGTTGGTGTCCAGGCTGCGTCTTAATTCCCAGGCGTTTTTTGGAGAGAAGGACGAGTCCTTGGAGAATTTCCTGTTTCCTAACTGTCCCCAAGATCTTTTTAACTGGCTTGATAATAAGAGCTCCTAAGCCCTAAGCAGTTGCAAAATTGATCTGCCAAACCAAATAAACAAACAAACTTCTCCAGTCTTTTCATTTGTGTGTTGTTTTGTTTTGTTGCTGCTGGAGAACAAGATACTAACGGCGTTGCAGGGCCCACGATGCACCCTGACAGACCTGTGCAGCCCGGTGGGGCCACCTGGTCGGGTCACGGTGACACAAACCGTTTCAGAGGACGTGGTTCTGTTTCCAGCTCCAGTGTGTTCCAGGTGTCCCGCAGGCCGTGGGAGTGCCGAGTGTGTGTGAGGGGGTGGGTGCGTGCGCGCGAGAGAGCATGGCAGGAGAGGTCCTTTCTGCCCCTCCATTTCTCTCCCACCTCTCTGTTCCTCGGCATCAGAAATGCTCCCTTGGATGGGAGCTTCTCTGGGGAAGGGCCTGGCTTGGGTGGGCAGGTGTGTCGGAATGAGCCAATGAGCCTGAATGGCGAATTACCGTTTGGCAGGTTTGCCTGAGTGGGACCTCCATGACTCCAAACCCAGACAGTAACATCCATCTGTTCAAACAAAACCGTGCTGCAAACTTGGGTGGAATGCCTCCTGAAGCTCCTCCCCGAGAGGCCCTGGTGGCGCAGTGGTGCAGAGCTTGGTTGCCAACAGAAAGGTCAGTTGTTCGAACCCAGCTGTGCTCCTCGGAGAAAAGATCTGGCAATCTGTTCCCGTCAAGCTGGCAGCTGCGGAGACCGTGGGGTGGGGGTGGGGGGGGCAGTTCTATGGTGTCCTGCAGGTCATTGCAACTCTGAATGGGCTCCAAAGACATGGGGGTGTTTTGTTCTGTCTTAATGGCCCCAGAGTGGAGAGCTTGGAGTCTGTAAGCCAGGCAGAGTAGGTGGGTACACGTGTGTGGTGCTGGGGATGGGCACGGGGCTGTGGTTTCCAGCCGGGGTGGAGTGTAGCTCGGGCCAGTGGATGCTTTCTGCCTCTCCTTGGCAGGGGCTATCAGGTGAAGTGTGGTCAGCGGCGTTCTTCGTAAGGTTACACACAGTTGCTCAGGGGGGTTGCTAATAAGAAGCCACAACTGGGGACTTTGTACCCCGGGGCCCCCTCCCCAACTAACAAATGGCAGTGGGGGCTCACGTTAGTCCACATCAGGGCTAGCCTCTGGAGCACTCCCAGGGGAGGGAAGGGACCACCTGACCATCACTCTCCAGGGTCCCAATTTCCCCAGGCTGAGCCTGTCCCCAGAGACCAGGTGACTCAGGTGTCCTGCTCCAGGAGCATCACCCCTCAGGCTGGACCCTGCAGACAAACCTCAGCATCCAGCACCACAGATGGCAGCGGCCAGGTTCTCCCTGCCTCCACCCACTTTTCTGTGTCAGAAACGGAGGAATGTCCCACTCTATGAATTCCTTTGCTTACTATTTTAATGCCAATGCCTGTAAAGATGATAGAGTTGGGGGAAGAAAAGATTGGGGAAAGGAAAGGAAGGGAGAGGGAACAGACACACAGAGTCCTTTGTGCTACAAACATTCCTCACCCCTCACTGACCATATGGCTTTGTCAGGAAACGTCTTCCGAAACGGTCAGGCCGAGAATGTCAGTGGCGAATATTTCTGCTGTGATTTCGTCTGGGAGTTCTTCTTCGAGGGAGATCTCTGTACCTAGCCAAGCAAGACAGGAAAGCCAAATGCCTTCATGGTGAGTGTGTTTCTGAAAACCCAGGGAGATAACAGGTTGGGTTTGGTTCCTTAAAAGCCCTGGGGTGGACACCAGTTAAAATCCCTCCTTTACTGAATCCAGCCTGTTAACCACAGCTTTGCAAACTGCCTGGGAAAATCTGAAGTTGAGTTGCTGGCGGCCATTGTGCCGACCCCTGACTTCTGGTGACCCCGTGCACAAGGAACAAAATGCTGCCTGGTCCTATCAGGTGCGATCGGCTATGGCTTTCATTACTTCTGGAAGTCTCTCAACAGGCTTTCTTTCGAGTCTCTGTCTGAAAGTTCTGTTAAACCCTGGTCTGCACCACAGTAGCCCCCAAGACTCCACAGAGAAGTGGGTGGTGGCTTTGTATGCGGTACCTTGGCTGAGAATTGATCCTGGGTCTCCCACCTGGAAGGTGAGAATTCCACCACAGCTGTAACAACACAGGACTTGGTTGTAGTGCTGAGTGGCATTTGAGAATCAAAAAATAAATATACAACAATTTTTATTGTTGTTACATTCTGAGACCTGAAGGACACAAAGGGATGGGGCCGAGGAAGTCTGAACCAGCTGCAGGTTAGAAATGACCCATCCGGCCGGTCATCCGGTCAGCAGACGCTTGTGGAGCTTTATGTAGGTGGACGTGGGAGAGGGAATAAAGAGAGGGGAGGCCATCCGTGGGTGCTAAGGATCTAGCTCTGTGCCTCGCTGCACAGCAGCGCCCCCTGGCTGAGAAGTGGGAAGTTCCCATTAATGGCCCTAAATCCTACCTCCCCCCCACCAAGTGGGCAGAAAGGAGCCCAGGTGGCACAGTGGATTACACATTTGGCCTGCTCACCACAAGGTCAATGGTTCAAACCCACCAGCAGCTCCTCCAGGAAAAGATGAGAGTCTGCTCCCATAAAAACTGATCTTCTCAAAAGGCCCAGCGGGGCAGCTCTATTCTGTCCCATAGGGTGGAGAGGACCTCAGTCCAGTGAGGGTGCTGGGGGCTTTAGTGGACTAAGGAAGACCCAGGGGTGGGGGTGGGAGTGGGGAATTCCCAGGCTCCCTTCAGAAGGGAGGGGCGGGGCGCGGCGGGGTGCGGCGTGAGTCTCCCAAGTGAGCGCAGCCCACCACGCAGCCGTCTTCTCTGCGGCCGACAGGCGCCCACCCAAAGTGTAAAGTGAAGGGCAGGGGAGTGGACGGAAGGGTCAAGGAAGGCCAGAAGCAACAAAGGCACCCAGCACGCCGTGTAACTCCACAGATGGGGTTCCACAAGTGGGCGGGATCATAAGCAGAGGCTGGCGCCCATCACCAGAAAGCTATGCACCCAGTCCATGAGAAACCGGTGAGTCAGGGAGGCATGACGTGCCCGGGCACGGCCGGTCACCGTACCTCTGAAGGCGGACGCTGCAGGTTCGGATTTCCAGCCCTCCGGGGTCAGGCCGAACAGCATGGCGAAGCCTTCCAGCATCTCCTCCTTCGTCATGTGCTCACCTGCGCGCCCGGGAGGAGACGGGGCTGCTAGCCTCGGTGGCACCCTGGGCTAGGAATCAGGCTGCCAACCCCCAGAGGGGTTCAAGCCCACCGGCCGCTCCGAGGGAGAAAGGTGAGGTTGTTCGCCCCCGTGGGGCAGGGTGGCGCGGGGCGGCACTGACCTTTAGTCTGCAGCAGCCTCAGGAAGTCCTCCCGCCGGATGGCCTTCTTTCCCTGGGCGTTGGTGTAGCCCAGGACGTCGAAGCTCTGCTGGATGCCGCTCAGCGTGTTCCCAAAGGGCGGCCGGTGGTTGATGTAGACTTTGAGGAAGTCTGGCAAGTTGATCTTCTCCACCAGCTTCCCAGTGTCCACGTACTCCCCGAACTTGATCTCGTTAAACATGTTATCAATCTGGGGGAGGAGTCCAAGAGACAAAACCAAAAAAGGTACTC